CCTCTAGTAATATATTTACTGAGAAAAATGATGATGTGTTCAATACTTATTTTACTCGCTGTAAACATGCCTTTTTAGGTAATGAACTCAATGAGTTTAAGGCAGAAAACAATACTACTGTCAAAGAGTTAAARTCGTATTTTCAAGTAACAGCAAACTCATCAAACTAAACCAGGGTTATTCAACTAAATTGCACATGGGGCCATTGTTACCAAACACCAACAGCTCMGTTGGTAAACATTCAGCCATTTTTGTCATCACGTAAATTTGATTTACGATGATTTACATCTGGTTTTATTTTAAATGAACTCATTGGTAGGCAGACTAAGTTGTAAATCCTCGTCATAATTTATCTACAGGATCACCTTAGACCAAAGCATTTGTCATTTCAGTTTTGTTTCAATGTTTTTCCCACGGCCCTCAACTACAATCTAGTTTAATCAGTTCTTGAAAGCTTTAAGTGTAAAGTTTTGTTTCATACTAAAAGGCGGCATGTTGTTTATCTAAAACTTCACAAGTGATGCAAGTTTAACATGTCTGTATGCGCTGGACTGCATTCTGCCAGTTAAATTCCTTCTTTAAGACATTATTGTTGTGGTCAGTTGTACATAACTTGGTRAAGGCCTTTCCCATATCGTTCTTTGGTGAGAACCAGAAACCACTGAGCTGACTGCAAGAGGACGAAGGGTTTCTGAGTGCATACTTRTGGTTCTTTGTGGGGCGTGTTTAGAGAAACAGTCTGGGTTCAAATATCCACTCAGCTATGTGTTTYATGTGTGTGTTTACATCAGGATACAAAAATGTACTTTACTTTTACTTAGCTGTGTGTCTTTTTTCTTTTTTTGGCTTCTACATTTTTTTTTCATTGCATGTTCATTTTAAATTTAAAGACCGTCATTTTCCCTCAGTTGTTTGTGGTTTGTTACGAACCTGCTCAGGGACTCTCGAGTTCGTCGTATTATAGTCCCCACCACCTGCTGAACCAGACTGCCCGTCCGAGCCGGAGACCTGCTCCTGCTTCGCTCCTTCTCCTCCATTTATCTAAAGAAACAACAAAAGCAAACAAAAAAATGTATTACAGACAGAACTGCAATGAATCAAAACAAGAGTTAGAAGAAAAAAAATAAGACTTCAAAAGTCAGCAGTCATATTTAGATTGAGTCATTGAATGAACAATTTTCACCACACTGTCATACTTATGTAATTATTGTAGTTGTTTTTTTTATGGTTGCACTGTTTAATTTTACTAAAAGACTACACTGTACTGTGTCAATCTGTGACAGTGTTTTTACCGTGAACTACGTTTTCTTTTTTTACATTGTCAGGAGAGTCCTATGGTGCTCAAGGCTCCATCATCCTGCATGTTTTATAGGTTCCTCTGCTCCAACACACCTGATTTGAATGAATGGGTGATTAACAGGCTTGTGCAGAACTTGATGAGGTATTCGGTCACTGATTTAGCTGTGCTGGAGCAGAGAAACAAGTCGAATGTGCAGGAAAGCAGCTCTCGAAGACCMTGACTGGACACCCCTCTGGTATATTCAGCTCCTGAAATGAGTTTCAGCTAAAACCGTCTGGCAGCCCGCTCTGTTTTGTGTGTAGCACGTGTCGCCTGACTTGACTGCGATGAACGGTCACACATGCGAGCCAGAAGCAAAGATCAATGCACGGGAATGAGGTGGCGCTTAGTCAGCATGAGCAACGTGGATGACTCGATTCTCCACAACATCATCTAGACCAGGGATGGGAARCCAGCGGTCTTTCTACATCYGGCCCATAGGTGACTTCCATCTGGACCGCCAATGAGACATTAAAGTTGCCCACCCCTGATCTAGACTATTGTGCAATTACATGATCGACAGCTACACAATGTTAACACAAATGGTCTCCATGTTTGCAACAGCCCTGCAGCTGCTTGTTTTCTGCTTAAGTTGCTCTTTAGAGTGACATAATGAAGGATGGTCTGTCCCCAGGAAGGCCGAGCTGCTCAGCACTGATTTAAGTCCAAACATTTCAAGTCCGCTGAACTTTGTGCTATCAGCTAGTCATTTCACTCTGACTCTCCTTATCTGACCTGTGATGTTTCCTTATGTGATATGTTTGCCTTTTCTTAATAAAACAGGTATCTTTCACAASAAATGTTTGCATTTCTTTTGTGTTGGGCCAGTCAGACTTTTGTGATGTTAAAGGTTTTGACGTAGCAACATGTTTGTCCCTCTAAGTTCAGCAGATGTCGTTTTTGCCACTGTCTAGTGACATAATCAGTCTGCTTCTCCAGGCTGCACTGCACCGTTTGAGCCAACGAACGAAGAGMGACGTGGAGACTTGGGCAGGTAGGGTGAGATCAATGTGGCTAACAATGACAGATGAGCTCCTGAGAGCTAATGAACTGCAGCGAAACCTCTGGCTGGGTTTGATCAGCTTTTCACGAACCAAGGCTTGCACGAGCCAAGATTCTCGTGAAGGTCTAGCAAGAGGTACGAGATCTCTCTGGYCGTCTGCCACACTTGTTTGTGAGTGTTTCAAAACAGGAATTCTCCAATAAGGAAGAGAAAGGTTGACTCTTTTGACTGCAATTACCTTATCTGGCTGCTTAAAGGWTCTGAGTTAAGAGGAAACTATTTACACTGCAGTGCAGTCGATAGATAACTTGAGGCGATGCAGCAGTGAGTAACGCTTCTTCTAAACRAAAGGGGTAGCTGTRGCGMAGTGGTTAGGGGAGTCATCCTGGTAGGTCACCGGTTCAATCCCCCGTTCCAACCATCTGTGTCCTTGGGCACTTCACCCGCCTGCCTACTGATGTTGGTCAGAGGGTCCYGTGGCGCMGGTGCMTGGCAGCCCCACCTCTGTCAGTGTGCCGCAGCTGTGGCTACAATGTAGCTTACCACCATYAGCATGTGGATGCRTGTGTGAATGCCTGAAGTGTAAAGCCACTTGGGGTCCAAGTGGATTTCATAAGGCKCTATGTAAGTTCAAGCCATTCACCAAGCCAGAAACACAAAGAAAAGGAGTTGAAGCCACTGCTGACTAACTTCTCCTCTAGTAGAACCAAAGCATGCAGTGCAGCTCCATCCTGTAAGAGGATTAAACCCCTCCGTGGTGCACAGGCCTGAAATGGTCAGGGTGTCACTTTAGCACATCCCGCTTATCCAGATTGAAGCAGATTGACGTGGATGATGAAAGCTGAGTGAGAGCGGAGAGCTGACAGCTGCCCACGAGAAACCGAGAGTAATTACAGACACTTGTGCCCCATTTAATCAACCGGGGCAAGCAAAAACCCCGACGTCTGAAGAGACAGCAAACCACACAACTGGTTTCGGCTTCAAATGAAGTCTCGATGCAGCGAGATCGACTCTGTTTGTGTTGCACTGAACAGCAGCAATCGGTGCTGAGTCAGATGGTGATTTTTTTTGTATTTTTTTCCTTCTTCTCTTTTCGTGTCGTTGGTTTGCTCCTTCCTGCTCTCTGACATTCTCTGTCCTTGTCGAGTCAGGTAGTCGTCTCCAATGACAGTCTCTGTGGGGCAGCAGCAGCCAGACTTTTTCTTTTCAGACACGCACAACTGGATTTGCTGCAGCCACTTTTAATAAAGCAGCATTTAGCATTTGTTTAAGGAATAAATATCGCCCAATGCTTTGTATGTCAAAGTTTAAGAATAAATAAAATAAAATAAAAATCTTGAGTAATCTGTTGGTGGTCAGAGTGGGTTTTGATGATGACTCTCATGTCCTACCAAACCAACATTTGTTCCTAAATCTATAAAACTGATGTGATGATGAGCCATGTGTGTGYTTGTTATTGTTGATTAGTCTCAGCTGGCCATCTTGAATCAGCTGGACTCCAAATGATAATCAGTTGTAGATGTACAGCCAGTGATAACTTCCTGAAAAAAAAWCATTAAATTCTGTCCACTGGTTCATGAGATATTTTGCTAACAGACAAGTAAACACCAACAGATAATGCTAAGAAAATTTTTAACAAAGACTCACACAATCTGTTAGAGCTCAGATTATCAGCTACCACACCATTTTTGGGCTCAAAATCTGCAAAATTGATTGATTTATAGCCATTTGTGTGTTTTTTTAAGATTGATTAGCTTTGACAGCTACMTTAAATCAGCTTGACTTCAAAAGTTAATCAGTTGTAGACGTCCACTAAATAACAACTTTCTCAAAGTTTCAATAAAATCTGCTGAGTGGCTTGTGAGATATTTTGCTAACAGACAAACAGGAYWRAACCTAACAGGAAATGKCTCATTTTTAAACAAAGACTTTGACSGATTCATTATTGCTTAAAGTATATCTTCGGGGTAACTTACAGYTACAGCCRCAGCTAAATTTAGCTCAGTATTTTTAAAGTTGACAGAGTTTTATTCATTTTTGTGTTGGCCAAGGTCGTTTAGCTGTGGCAGCCACCTTGAATCAGGTTGACACCAAAAGTTAATGAGTTGTAGATACATATCTAATATTAACTTTCTGTTTATGTTATTAATATCTGTTGAGTGGTTCATGAGATATTTTGCTAACAGACAAACAGACAATCATATTATTGCCCACCTTTTACGGCAGCAAGTGAGAATTTTTAGAAATTGTGTCATGCAGTATGCTCTTTAAGTCAAAACCAGTCTTTCAGACCTCATCTACGCGATTCTTGTGTTTTGTTTGTTTTTTAAGCATGTTAATTTAAAACTGTGTGTCACTCACCGTGATGTGGTTTGTCTCTTCAGGGCTCTAAAACAAACACGCCCCCTCCTTGTCCTCTGAGACATCAGCTCTGTGACCCCTCCAGGATTGGCTGAGAAGTGGAGGAGAGGGGTCCCTCTGATCATCGGAGCTCGGTCTCAGTCTGGCGGGGCCACCTGTGCAGAGCAGAGCCGTCAAGACGCGCGTCCAGTTTCTGACTTCAAACTGTTCTTATTCATACGTAGCGGAGCTCCACTTCCAGCTGCCTGCTCAGTTTTATAAATGCCAGAATGTTAAGCGGAGCAGATGTGAGCCCGAAGCAGCTGGGTGGTTGTGGTTTTCCAGGAGGCCCCTCCTCTAAGTCCCGAAAGGCTCCCATGCTCACACCCACTGCCTCYCTGTGCACCTCCTCAACCTCAAAAAGCACACGGCAACGTGGAGAGACGAGGCACTCCGTCTTCATCTGGTTGTCTAGATTAAAATTTCATACAGGCCTAGTTTTGTTATGGTCACCCTTTTTTTGCTTTTACTGAGCTCACTCTAAGACCAAAAAGATGTAGACCGAATGGTAAGAAAGGACAAAGTCTTTAATATAAAACATCAGAGCAGATCTGGCTGAAACCTTAGCCGGCCTCTGGTTTGAGGAGACAAACATAGGAGGAGGAATGCTTTGTTGTGAAAAGCCGGGGCCGTCGAATGAAGAGAGACGCTGCATAAACATTCTTTGAGCATGTCTGAAAAAAAAAAAACTACCTCTTTTTTATTTATTTTTGCTCTTGAATGTTGATCTGCGAAGTAAACTCTCACTCGTCTGGGCCTTTCATCTACAAAAATCAAGAAGATGATAGCCCCGTCTGTGCAGCGCCTCCGTCGGACCCTGTGGCCCTCACAAACAGGGGCTCTCTTTCACGAGGCCAAAACGTGGACTCTCACAGGGGCAGCAGGGTGCATGAATAATGCATGGGGCTAATGCAGCKACAGCTCTGCCCTCCAGCCGCCTCCTTCTGCCACTTTAACACAGGCTGCAAGGAGAAAGAAGAGTGCAGAAAGAGAAAGGCACATGGTGGGCGAAGCAGTGGAGAGGAGGGGACTGTGGAGGGGCTGAGAAAAGGGGCAGGGAATAATAAAGAGAGAGAGAGAGAGAGAGAGAGAGAGAGAGAGAGAGAGAGAGAGAGAGAGAGAGA